CAGCCGGGCACGTGCAGGGCAGGCAGCAGGCAAGGCGGTATGCAATTGCTGCGTGTGGGGCAGGCCGCGATCAGAGGGCTCCCCGCCCCGCCCATGCCAGGAACTGCCCAGGCCAGGCCAGGCATGCACCCTCCCAGCAGCATCCCATTCCCTCGGGGCCGAGGTACATGATAGCCAATGATATGCAAAAGTGGGCACCCCTCTTGCGTGTCCTGCCCCGCGCCCTCCCAGCCCAGCCACCCGCCCACCCGTGCTGAGCGGCACGTCTGCGGCCTCCTGGGTGATCCAGGGGTGCAGCAGCCCCTGCGCCACCGTCATGCGGCTGGCGGCGTCCTTGTCCAGCAGCCTGCCCACAAAGTGCTTGGCCGCCGCCGACACCTGGTTCCAGGGCTGGTAGTCAAAGTCTACGGGCTTGGTGAGGATGCGGTGGAAGATGACCTGGTCCGAGGAGCCCCAGAAGGGCGGGAAGCCTGCAGGCAGGCAGGCAGGGCAGGCGGTGGCACGCGCAGGTGGTGGTGCATGCGCACGTGCCCACTTTCGACAGGGCCGCAACCCATGTCAGCCGCAGTGTGGCGGCAGGTGCGGGCGCCTCCAAGCTCTGCCCAGCGCTGCCGACATGCCAGCCGCAGCCCCCGGTGCTCTTGCTCTGCTCTTCCCAGGAAGGCAGCCCCACCCGACAGGAGGATGTAGGTTATGGTGCCCACAGACCAGGCGTCCGCCTCGTAGCTGTACGCGCCCTTGAGCACCTCTGGGGCCACGTAGTAGCTGCTGCCCACGCAGCTGCACACAGCAGGGCGCGGCACACAGACCAGGCAGACGGGGGCACGGCGGTGGGGCGCCGCCAGCAGCCGGGCGCAGGCTGGGCCTCGGGTCGCGCGCAGCGGTGGCGGCGCCTGTGTGCGCCGCGAGAGCGTGCAGGGGAGAGCACCCGGCGCGCCCATGGTGCACCCGCCGGCGTGTTCCACAGGTATTTTTCCAGGCCGAGGCGGCGGGCCGGCCCACCTGCGGCAGATGCCGTCTCCCTCCACAAACTTGGACAGCCCAAAGTCGATGGCCCGCAGGTTGGCCGCGCTCAGCTCGCCCTCCCGCAGCAGCAGGAAGTTTTCGGGCTTGAGATCTGCCGGGGGGGTGAGGGTGGAGGTGGCAGGCAGCCAGCCAGCCTCAGCAGGCACGGTGCACCCAGGCCCAGCTCGGCCAGGCTGCAGCGACTGAGCAGGCCAGGCGGCCGCAGGGGGCACGAGGCACGCGGCGCCGTGCTGGAAGCCGCCCTGCGGCCCTGCCGCGCAGCGCGCTCGCAAGCATGCACTCCCCTACGGGGGGACTGCCCTGCTCCCACCTCTGTGGATGATGCCCTTGCTGTGGCAGTGCTGCATGACGCTCAGCATGGCCGCCGTGATGGAGGCGGCGTCTGCCTCGGTGAAGTGCTTGCGCTCAATCACCATGTCAAACAGCTCACCCCCCATGCACGCCTCCTGCTTGGGGTTGGGGAGGGACCACAGGCGGGCGCGTGTGTGCCTGCAGGGCCCTGGGGAGGGTCGCCCCCAAGCCACCTGCTGCCGACCCTCCCGGCCTGCCTGCCCCTCCCTCCTTTCCACCCACCCACTCCCTCACCATGACAATGAACAGGTAGGAGGCGTCCTCCCACACCTCATACATGTCCACAACATTGGGGTGGTCTGACACCTGGCGCAGCACGCAGGGCACGGGCAGCGGCTGCGATCAACCTTCGCCAGCAGCGGCGGCCAGCCCAGCCGCGCCAGCAGCCTAGCAGCACCACCTCGGCGGCAGCAGCAGCCCGCACCGCGGCAGCCCGCTAGCCAGCGGCGTAAGGCGCAGCAGGCAAGCGAGCCCAGGCCACGCCGCCACCCCGCCCTCACCGCCGCCAGTATCAGGATCTCCTCGATGGCTGTGTCCCGCTCATACTCTGGGTGCAGCTTGTCCAGCGCCTTGATGGCCACCAGCTGCCCCGTCTTCAGGCTGCTGCAAAGGTAGGTGACGCCGTAGTGGCCGGTGCCCAGGACCCTGCAGCAGGCAGGCGAGGGGCCAGCAGGTGGGCAGGAGACCGAGGGGCACTGCGGCGGAAACGGAGCTACGCGGAGCGCCCGCTCGACACAACTCTGCCCAGTGGAGAGGGTGGCGCTGTGCAGCCTGGATGCTGCATGCCGGCTGAATACGCGGTGCTTCCATGCCAGAAACCGGGCTGTAGTATGCTGTGCTTGGCAAGTGGGCACGGGCACACAGGCGGCGGCTGCGGCGGCAACCCGGCCCAGCACCCACCTGATGAAGCGGTAGCGACTGTGGGGATCCCCAAAGTGCCAGGGCTTGCCGTGTAGGGCGTTGTCGCTGGGCCGCTCGGCAGTGAAGGCAGGCGACCGGGGCGAAGCCAGCTGCTGCGCCATGGGCCCCCGCCACGCTCCCACTTGCTCAGGGTACAGACCCCAACGCCCAAAAGCTCCGCCCGGTTTAGGTGCTGCACCGTGGCAAGCGCCCCGGCAAATCACGCCTCGGCGGCGGGTGCCGTTCACACATAACGAGCTGGAAATTGGTTTCAACAGACGCACAGAATGCTCCAAAGAAGGCAAAGAGTAATGACTAACCGGGCCGCCTTCGGGCAGATGCTCCCGCCCGCCACCGCCTGGCAGCCTGGCGATGAGCAGTGGGCAGACGGGCATTCAGGCTTGCATTCTGCTTGTACCTGCCGTGCAAGCCTTGGCGCCATGGTCACGCAGGGAGGATGAGGGGAGGCGGGCAGCGGCCACGGATTTGGGGGCACCTGCCGCGACGAAATGCGGGGATGCAACCGAGGGCAGCAGGCGGCGGCCAGGATGGCGGTACCCCTCTGGCGCGGTGGCCCTGGAGACCCGATCTGCAAGTAGGCTCGCTCCCAAGGGCCATTGAGTACAGCCCTGTAGGAACCCAGCCTTCACTCCGCAGGCAGCGCTCGGGCGGGTAGCGGCGCCGCCGCCTGGAGGCGAGCGCACACGTGGTGTGTGAACAGCAGGACGGCCATTGCATGCATCAATATGAGCAGGCAATGCGTTGCTATCCCAATCCCGAAATGAATTGACAAAATTGCAGCAAATGCTTTTTGCGCCTGTGCTAGCAGCTATGCCTGCGGCTGCCAATCAGCTCGTGGGCCGATGTAGCTGAATGCTGCTGATTACTCTGCATTTCGATCGACTGCGCAGCGCTGCCCGTTTTGATGCTGGCATAGTAGGCCACCTCCTGCACCTCCAGCGTCTCCCGTTGCTGCCCGCGATGTCCAGCATCGCCCTGCAGCCCACGAGGGTGCAATCAACCTGCCGGCAGCTGCGCAGCGCGCCTGCAGGGCCCCACAGCCAACCCCACCCTCTGCCCAGCAGAGCGAGTAGGGCTCGCCAAGCCCCGCGGGTGGCCGTCAGGGCATCCGGCGATGGTGGGTGGAGGAATGCATGCCAGATTGTGAGGGCAGACAACCCTGCCCCCCCGACGCTGACGCGCCCGCCGCCGCCTGCCCCGCCCTGCACCGCCTGCAGGCGGCGCCGAGGCTCGCCTGAGCCAGCTGCAGCAGCGCGAGGCGGAGTACAAGAGCCAGCTTGATTCGCTCAAGGCGGCGGCCCTGGAGGCCAACGCCGCGGCGCTGCAGCAGGCGGCGGCGCCCGCCGCGGCGCCCGACCTGCCCGCCAAGGGCGGCGCCGGCGCGGGCGAGCTGGCCGCGCTGCGGGGCCGGCTGGAGGGCGCCATCGCCGCCATGCAGCAGGGACTGGTGGAGCGGGACACGGAGGTGCGCCTGCTGCTGCTGGCGGCGCTGTCGGGGGAGCACATCTTGTACATCGGGCCGCCTGGTACCGCCAAGAGCGAGCTGGGGCGCCGCCTCTCCCGCCTCTGCCACGGCACCTACTTCGAGCGCCTGCTCACCCGCTTCTCGGTGCCCGAGGAGCTGTTTGGGCCGCTGTCCATGCGGGCGCTGGAGGAGGACAAGTATGTGCGGCAGACGCGCGGGTGAGTGCGGGCCGCGGGCGGCGGCTTGGCCCCAGGCGGGGCCGCGGCGTGTGCACAGCCCCCGGCCATAGCAGGCTGGACTGCCGGCGGGCTGGCGGGCAGAGGTGGAGGTGGCGGGCGAGCCGGTCAGCATGCAGGTCCGCTCGCGCATTGTCTTCCGGCCAGCGCTGCCCAATCCCATCCTCTGACCCGCTTCTGCCACCGGCACGCTCCTGCCCTCTGCCTGCCTGTAGCTACCTGCCTGAGGCCACCGTTGCGTTTGTGGACGAAATCTTCAAGGTGGGATGGCGTGAAGCTCTTGTGCGTCCATGTTTCCTGCCGCCGCTCGAAGCACCGCGCCGCCCCGGAGAGATGGCCTGCCTCCTGGCCCCCCAGGGTCCCCACCCACCTTTCCCTGCCCCCAACTCCCTGCCTACCCCCCCTGCTGCCCCGCAGGCCAACTCCGCCATCCTCAACACCCTGCTCACCCTGCTGAACGAGCGGCTGTTTGACAACGGCGCCATCCGCGTGCACGTGCCGCTGCTCTGCCTGGTGCGCGCCTGCACCCCTGCCCTGCCCCTGGCCCTGCCCTGCCCTGCCTGGCGTGTGACGGGCTGCTGCCTTGCCTGGTGTACATAAGTGTGTCAGGATATCGCCTGCTTGCGCCCGGCGCGACACCAGGGCTTGCCTGACGTGCGCGACCAGCCGATTTCTCCCGCACCCTGCCATTGCTGCCCGGCCGTGTTGCCCCTGCCGTTGCCGACCCATCCTCCCCTTTTTGCCGCCCTGTCCCCCTCCCCAGGTGGGCGCCTCCAACGAGCTGCCCGAGAGCGAGGAGCTGGACGCGCTGTACGACCGCTTCCTCATCCGCCGCCAGGTGTCCCAGGTGTCGCAGGCGGGGCTGCTGGAGATGCTGGCCAACGGCGGCGGGCGCAAGCAGGTGGGGGTGGGCGGGGCGCGCGGGTGTTTGAGTATGTGTGTGAGGGGTGGTGGTGCTGCGGCGGGGGTGAGTGCTCATTTGTATGCGGGACTGTTGGGTGGCTGGGGTTGGGGCGCGACTTTTTTGGCTCGGGCACAGGCTGCCCGCAGCACGTGCTGGATGCAAGGCAGGCGGCTTGTTTGATCAAAGATGGGGCGCGTGTGCCTGGGCCGCTGCTTGCCTCCCCCGGCCGCCTCATCCCACCCGCTGCAATTCGCTGCGCTCACCGCCGCCCGCCGCCGCCCGCCGCCCGCAGGCCATCGCGCTGCGCAGCCCCGGCGCGCAGGACAGCACGGACGGCGAGGAGGGCCTGACCCCGCTGCTGACGGCAGACGACTTTGAGGAGACGCGGGGGCGGGCGCTGGAGGCGGTGGAGGTGCCTGCCGCCGTGCTGCAGCTCATCGCAGACCTGCGCAGCTACCTGCAGGACAAGTGCGAGCCGCCGGTGTATGTGTCGGACCGGCGCCTGGTCAAGGCGGTGGCGCTGATGCAGGTGGGGCTGGGGGGCCAGTGGAGGGGTTGGGGGGTGGCGTGGTGGGTGGGTGTGTGCGAGTGGTGGGCGCGTGGGGAGCAGGGGTGGCGTGCGGAGGACAGGCTTGGCGGGCGGGGGCCTGGGCCTGGGGTGCCGCACGCCGCGCCCTCGCAGCCGCCAAGCCTCGCGCGGCCCGCCGCATGCTGTCCTGCGGCCCTGCGGCCGCTGCCCTGCTGCCAGCTGCCATGCCTCGTCACGCGCGCACGCACGCGCCGCTGCCCCCCTCCTGCCCCGCAGGTGGCGGCGTACACCAGCGGTCGGCAGCGCGTGGCCGAGTACGACTGCCTGCTGCTGCGCCACCTGCTGTGGCAGCGCCCCGACGAGGCCGAGCGCATCTATGACTGGCTGCTGAGCAACCTGGCGTCGGACGACGGGCTGCAGCAGATGCAGTACCTGCTGTCGGGCATGTTTGGGCGCGCCTGCAAGTCGCTGGGCGACCGCGGCGAGCTGGCAAAGGTGGCGGGGGAGGTGGGCGACCTGCGGGCCGCGCTGGTCGACAAGCTGGCAGGTGGGGCGCGGCAGCTGGAGGCGGGGCGGGGTGCGGGCATGGAGGCTGGGCTGGGCTGGGCTGGGCTGGGCTGGGGAGCGTGGGGGGCCTCTTGGCGGCCTGCTTGGCGTGGAGCCGGGGGCAGGCGGCGCAGCTGGCCAAGGGGAGTTCAGGAGTGCCGCATGCAGGCTGACCTTGGCTCGCTTGTTCTGCCTCCCGTCGTGCTGCGCCTGGTGCAGGTGTGTACTCAACCATGGATGAGGGGTTCCCTGCGGTGCTGGGCAACCTGTGGCTGGGGCAGGAGGAGGCACAGGTGGGTTCCGGGGCTGGGCGCAACTGGGACGCGCGCAGCCACGCCGCAGCAGCCCTGGTCCGTTGCCCTGCCTTTGCCGCGTCCCAGCCCGGCCCAGCCCGACGCGCGCCTCGCCCTCCCCTCTGGTGCAGGCTGTGGCGTCTGCGCTGCTGCCCAAGCTTGAGAAGACGCGGAGGGCTGTGGAGGAGCTGCTGTTTGAGGTGGTGACGCTGGAGGTGGGTGGGTGGGCGCTTCTCCTGTGCCGCTGCTCCCTTTTGTGTTGGGTGGTGCGCCCTGGATGGGAGTATC